GCTCTTTTGCCAATCTGGCCCTTTCTCTATATTTTTTAGAAGCCAATGTATTTTTCCAGAATAACAGTGGTTGGCAGGAGGCTGGCAGATACTGAATTCTAGAATCATTGCAGCAAGTTGCACCTGGCCCCAGAGCAGCATAAAAAGGCCATAAAGGGGGTGGAACTAGCCTGTGGGGAACAGGATCTGTGCAAACAATTTCTACAGAGCTGGTGGAGTAGCAGGACGCCAGCCCCTCTCTGAGTCTCTCCCATGGTCCCAAGGGGTCCTCGGAACCAGAGCACAAGGGCCCAGGGCCGGAATAAGGGGGAATCAATGGGACCCTGTAGCGGGCTGGACACCCGCTCCTGCCCTGAGGGGTTTGGAATAGCCCTGGGAGAAGGCTGGGGCTGGGAGAAGCAGCTACTGGGCTGATTGGGGAAGGAGCTGCAGCTGGACCACACCCTAATCAGAGCCCAGCTGGCCTGTATAAAGAGCCTGGGAGCCAGGAGCTCAAGAGTCTCTCTCTGCCTTCAGAGAGAGAAGGGCCTGGCTGCGGGGAGCTAGACACAGAGGACCTGGGTGGAGCAGGGCTGGGGAAAGGCTGAGGAGCTGGGGAGCTCCAGCCTGGAAAGCCCCAGGCTGTGGCCTAGTAGGAGGCCAAGGGGTACTGGGGGGTGCAGAGGGCAGCCCAGAGCTAGGCCAAGGCAGCAGGTCCAAACCCAACCTTCCTGATGATGAGTGGCCTATACTGCAGTCTGCCCCAGGGAGTGGGGGCTAGTTGGTGACTGGCAGTGGCCTTATCCTGAGGTGAGGTGGGGTTAGTGGGTGGGGGTTCCCCTGGGAGGGGAGACCCAGCGAGTGTGGGTATTGCCAGGGGGCAGCACCCAGGGCAAGGGGTCCTGGGAGGGACATGGGGGCCAGAACAGGCAGCAAGGCGGATCACCGCCCTGCAGAGGGTGCTCCAGAGGCTGGTGAGCTAATTCCCTGGACGACCAGCAGGAGGCGCCGCCGGGGTGAGTCCGGACCCCTTACAGACCCCTTGGAGAGCACGGTGATACTCAGCATGAGTGCCGCAGAAGCCAGCTCTCAGTTACCAGTTTCTGGTGACTGTTCCATTCGAACCTAATCCAGGCGAGGAGGGTGGCTGAACGACATGCCAGCGTTACTGCTGTACTTCCCAGGCAGTCGCCATAATAGGAGGTACTGGCCAACGCAACGCCCCCGATCAAGAGCACCGAGTTCCTTTCCTCCTGCCGGATGCTTTTCTTTAGCAGACCGTGTGGATGATTGTGCCGTTGGAAGCGCCCGAAGCTGCTCCGCCATTTATAATGTAGTCCTTTATGTTCATCTCAGAACTGGACATCAGTTTGTTTCTCTCCTGCCCCGTGATTACTGTTTCTATTCCTCTAAGGCACGCCTTCATATCCTCTCGGAAGGAAGGAGTGTAGAGACCGTAAATGATAGGATCGCTGCACGTGTGCAGCAAGCCAAAGAGAAAGAGACTGTGGTTGATGTATTCGGGCATACTTTGAATCATGTCTGGCTGGAACCAGTACCACAGGCCCAGGAGGTAATATGGGGTCCAGCAGATAATGAAGGAGGCAACTATCACAACGGTCATCTTGAGGGTCTTCATTCGCGCCTTGGAGATGTGGTCGTTTTTGCTTCTTGCTAGACCTGCCGGGAAGAGTCAAAGGGATAATTGTATACCACGCAACAGCATACAACCAGGAAGAGACCAACATTCACAGCCCGGCCTCCCACAGTCAGTATGAGTTTGACTTCAAGATTTAGGCCTGATCCAAAGGCCACTGGAGTCAGTGGGAGCATTTCCATTGACTTCCATGAGCACTGGATTAAGCCCAAACTGCAGCTGAATTGAGTTACCACGGGGCTGAAGTAGTGCCCAGAGGCCTGTACTGGCTCTCTGTATTGGGCTGTATTTCACCCTGAAGGGCTTCAGTGGGACATAAAGCCATGCACAAGGCGCGGGTTGGGCCTCTCCCGGGGAAGGGGCGGGGGGGGATGAATAAGGATATCCATTTTCAAGGCTGCTGCCTTTCATCACCATAAAGTCACTTGACTGGATTGAGGCCTGACCCTACCCCAGCCATGCAGGAGTCTGAAGAGGAGGTGGCCTTGCACACCTTCCCCATCTCTTCTCGCCTGGCCTGAAGGAGGCAGTAGCAGGTCTCCATGATACTCCTGGAAGAAGTGGGCAGAGAGGGGTGGCAGATTCCATGCTCTGCGCCCCTCTCCACTATATGTGCAGTCTCTCTCACCACGTATTACATTACAAGGCTCCCCTATTCCGCTGTCCATTATTTTCCATCAGCGAGGACTTGCCATCCCCAGAAACACACCTGCTGTTTCTCATTTTCTAAGCCTGGAGATGTCAGGCAACGATGCTAACATTACGCAACAAGAGATGGCTATGAAATCTAAGGGCTCTGGCAGGGAAAATTACAACGTCTCGGCAATGCCAATAAGATCACATGGAAGTATACTGAATGCTAAATAGCTGCAGCCTACTCACCCTTGTTGATCTTCAGTTGCTTACTGATTTCCCAGATGATGCGGATGTAGCAGACAATCATGACGCTCAGTGGGGCGACGTAGAGGGTGGTGAAGGTGAACATGTTGTAGATGATTTCTTCCCAGTGCTCTTGGAAACTTCCATGGGTCACACACTGGGTAAAATTGACACCCGGGACAGTGTGCAGGTGAAAAAGAAAAAGCTGAAATTAAGAATGAAACAGTTAGTCAGAGATCGTTCTTAAAGGGGCACTGTCACAATGACAATCTCCTTCCTGGGCTTACTGGCAACACTTTCTGGCAATTATTAAACCCCAAAAAGAATTTAGAAAGTCTTGTTACATAGGGTTTGCCAGATTGGGTCAGACCACAGGTCCATCTAATTCAAAACACTGTTTTGACAGTGATCAGCACCAGATGCTTTAGAGGAGGGTGTTAGAACCCTGCAGTAGCAGATACGGAATAATCCGTCCCCACATTAAGTCTTGTTCTAGCTCTCATCAGCAGAGCACGAGGCTGCATATTGACTTGTCATCAGACATGCTCTTTGCTGACTCAGCCTGTCACTCATCTCAAGCAATGGTCTGGTCCATTCATGGTCAATTCCACTGTCCAGTTCTCATGCGCTAGTACGACACTGCGACATTTGGGCAGCAGCTGCAGCAGGCGAAAAATGGGTTCTGTTGGAATTAAAAGCTCATTGCGTTTTTCTCCAGGCCTTGATCATAAACCTCAGCCATTATTGTAATTATTCCTTACTTTGTGCCAATAGACAACATGCTACCAACTACTAGCAAACGCATCAATTAATTCTATAAGCCAGGTTCTTATAAATAAATCAGAGATAAAGTCCTTGAGTTGGGGTGGATCTGTCTCTCCTTTCTAAGTATTATGATGCTGTTCTCCATGATAGTGGAATAATTTTTATCCAAAACATACTTGGCCTAATAGCAGAAAATAACCCCCACTGAGCCCATAAGCCAATGTGTGGATATTTTAAACATTGTTGTTCCCAGCCATGCAATATTTGATGGATTCAGTAACTGGGTGAAGAGCCATTTATCTCTCTCGGGAACTCAGAATTCTTTTGTGCTGCTACAACAGCACCGTAGAATTCATGCTCACAAGATTTATTTTCACTCGATGGCGGCTTCCTGTCCTGAGCTGACAATACACCCCACTTATCTCCATTAGTGTCAGATGTTCCTAGCGCTGTCTGAAGCAGCAGCATCTTTTGAATGAAAAGTCTCTCTATTCGCCTTTTAAAATGCCAATCCCTTTATATGTTCAGTCTCCCGCCCGGGCTGCCCTGGCAGCACTGAAATTTGCACACTGAATAAACACTGGAAGGAGGACAGGTTAAACATTTTATAGCAGTCATAGTCCAGACACACCATATTGTGGATATGAGAGACCAAGGCCCAATTCCTCAAAGTTGAAGAGAAGTCTGAAGGAATGCCTAACATAGTGAATGCTAATGGGAAGGGGGTAGGTTTAGCAGATAAAAT